ATGATTTGTGAGATCTAATTGAATTTATATTCCCTACTTCTCTTTTATTTATATATCTCTTGTGATTATTATCAATTGTGTTTTGATTGTTGATGCAAACTGGCCATTTGTTTGATTGTTGAAACGCATATCGTTATTTAGAATGGTTAAATCCGTAATTGTTTGATCGTTCTAATATTTGTGGCAAATAGCATAGTTGATTACTAAGGGTTTTCGATTGTATGCTTAGGGAGATATATGATCTAGTCTAAATGATCCTACATGTGCGTTTGTTGGCTAGAATTGGTGGTCCTTCTAGATCTTATTGCTGTTGATAGATTAAATCCTATGATCGTATCTAGGGTTGTCTGTTGATTAGAGAAATAATTAGAGATCGTATCCTGATTATCGAGCAAGTAAGGAAGGATAGGTTGTTAGGTCGTACCAATAACCATAACCAGTTTAATCGAGAGTAGGAGAATTATTATTGCATCCGTGATCGAATCGTTGAACCATTTCTACGAGTTTTTCCTTTGGTTGGATATTTTCTCTATTTTGAATCACTCTCTTTTCGTATCTAGCTAGATTTTTATTTTATTTTATTTTCGTTTTCGTAGTTAGATAAAATCATCAAACCCCCATTATTTTTTATTTTTATTTCTTTCACGAATAGTTGCATCAATACACTGTCTAGCCAATCTCTGTGGATACGACCCTGCTTACCACTACTACAGTTATTTTAGAAGCAGGAATTTATTATTGTTGGATTCGACATCCATCAAGCCCCATGAGGAAAAGATTTTGCCCGAACTTTGACCGGGCAATCATGGTTTATGTAGACGGGTTCGTTGGAGACATATACGAAGAAGCGGAGCTCAATTTCGAGCTTGGACGAGTCCGAACGGGCCCACAACGCGAAGTCGCGCGAAACACGTCTTTGGTGTGCTGGTCAAGAGCTTTTGGAGAATGGAATTTGAAGAATAATTTGGCCATGCAAGTATCATTAAATAGTTTCGTTAGTGAAGCGTAGGAATAAACGAAACTCAATTCCGAGTTCGGACGAGCCCAAAACGCAAAGTCGCGCAGCCCAGTCCTCCTTAACGGCGCTATGCTTCCTTACCGACATCAGAGGCAAACAGCTAACCTGCCTTAGCGGCGCTAAGAACCCCTTATATTTTTCTCGAGCTTTTGAAGGGAGATGGGCATTAGGATCGAGGAAAAAAACATATTTTGACCGAATTTTTGACCCCAAAACCGGATTTCTTCTCCATTTCTCTTCATTTTTTTTCTTCTCTCTTTCTTCCCCCCTTCTTCTTCTTCCCTTTTTTTTCTTCTTCTTTTTTCTTCTCTTCTCTTCTCTTCTCTTCATCTTTCTTTTTCATTTTTCTTCTTCTTTTTATTAGTATTCAAGAATTAAGCTTGTAATTCAAATTCAACACTTGAAATTGCAATTTATTGTAAGTTCTTCTCTTTATTTTTAATTCATGAATAATGGTTGAATTGAGAGAGATGATGGATTGTGTTGAATTGATATTACTTAGCTAATTCTTATTGCTAGAGATAGAGGATGATTGTTCTTGTTTGATTCGTATTTGTCGGGCTTGATTTGTTCATGCTTATGTGAGTTGATATAATTCGGAATTGATGAATATGTGCTTGATTGATTGATATAGTCGAAGAGTGACAATTCGATCTTGCGATTGGAAACGATTGAATGTTAATTTGTCGAGTTAGGGTTTGTCAATTCTATATGATTAGTTGATTAATCACCTTCTAGTTAATTAGCGACTTTTAGAACCGAAAGGAGAGAAGTCGTAGACCTATGCTCGCATGAGGTAGATGATTTCGTAATTGAATAGTCTATTGGTTTGAAATACGTGCTTGTCGATGACTTGTCCCTTGTTACGAAAAGTTATTGGGATTGGGTTAATTGGCCTGCGTCGTATGCTCGAGTTTGTTTGCCTATGTTCAATCCCTTGTTAGGAAGAGTTATTGGAAGCGAACCGCTAGATGTTTAAGCGAGAGCGTCAATCTAGAATATAATGATTTATATCTCGGAGTGCGAATAGAACTTGAGTTAATTGTCCCCGACTCCCTAGCTTCTTTATCGTTGTTTGATTTATATTTTTAGGTAGATTATCGTTTATTTTATTTCTTAGTTAATAATTATTCAAACCCCCTTATTTGATTAGAGTTTTGGGACCGGGGAACGAATCTTTCGATTCGGTACTCGGTAATACAACAATTTGTACACAACAAATTACCATGACAGAAACTGGGGGAAAACGGGTGAGGGCTCACTATCATGAAGCGCACATGAACGGGAAAAAACTCATATGAAGCCCAAATGAGGTTCCATCCCAAAACCAATTGGTGGAAAGAGGAGTAGCCCATTAGTCTTATAAAGTGAGTCTATTTTCCATGTATGGACGATGTGGGACAACTCACAAGTGATATTCTACCAACAAGGAAAAAGGAAAAAAAAAAATCATCTAAGAACTCGGGCAGGCCTAAACGAAGTTACTTGTGCTTGCTTCAAGATTTGTTTTTTGAACCAGTAGAAAATGTCGGAGGTCCTCAAATTGACTATTTTCCTGCAATTGTGCCTTATGTTTCTGATATCGTCCTTTGGAGGGTTGACCATGACTTCCAGTATGCGGAATTGTTCAGGCCAAGGCTCCATCACCGCTTCCGTGGCTAAAATAGTTTTTGGTGTATTTGATTTTGGATTTGGTCCGCTAAAGTGTCCACTTTTTAGTTTTGGTCCATTATATAAAAAAAAATTAAAATTTGTGGTCATCTGACCGGCTACAACCGGTTATATCACTGGATGCTGCCGTGACATATTAAAAAATTAGCTAGTTCGTACTTTATCTGACACTCATTTGAGATTTTTAGTCAATTTTCTAGAAAAAAAAAAACAATAGATTTTTAGTGCTTCTACCAACTACAAATAATAAATGTGAAATTAGGTTTCAAATACATCGAATTCATTCATTATATTGACAACGATAACATTGTGTATAAAACGATGCATATATAAATAAATTTTGAAGCTCTTCAACTGTAGGGTATGGCGGTTGTGCAAACATTGCTTGTAGACGCTCAAATCCTGATAGAACTTCATGAAATAACTTGAATTACTCATGCCGTTTGTACTGAGTCCTATCATGAATTCTAGTTTGCTCTCAACCGTAGTCATTATTATTTTGGTTATTGAAAGTCTATAGGGATTAAAATAAAACGATAAGATCGTTTGTTCTAGAATCATATTACAATTCATATTTCATTCCATTAGATAAATGACATGTCTATGACCTGGTGCTACAATTATACGTATAGTAATTCATCCCATGAAATGAAATAAAAATTGGAGACATGCATTAGGAACATGTGATCATTTTTTGACCTCAAGGGCCCCCGTTTTCGCTTAGGATTGGACCTCATGAGATTGGAGATTATGTGTTTTGCCAAGGTTTTAGCGAGAAGTATGAGGATGAGTTTTTTCGAGAGAACTATTATGTAAGATTTGTGAGAAAATGCAGTAAGGCCTTTAACAAAAGCAAGATTCCAAAAAATGTCGATAACGTTAGGATGGGGAGGAGTGTTGTCCCCAAGTTGGTTTGAAGTGGGACTAGAGTGAAACATCGCTAGATCTGGTTAGTACAAGGTAGTTTCACCGAAAATAAAATCGGCGGCCACCCTCCTTCTAGCGCCAGTTTGTTGACGAGCGATCGCCAGCGATCCTTAATCAAGGGATTAAGGGAGACTGATATTTGATTAGTTGAGAGATGGCGAAAACCACAATGGCTGTGAGGTCCTCGAAGCGCTGGCCGGCCAGGAGGAAGCACTAGCCGACGATGATGGCAGCGCGGCCGCGCATCACACTCCGCTGAAGAGGAGGCACCGGATTTTTGCTAGAAAGGGGACGGTTTTTTTGGAGAGAGAAGAATGATTTTTGCAGAGTGAGTGCTAAAGACTTCAAATCTTTGCCTTTAGTAGTTTGTTTATGGGTTGGTGTTCGTAGGCCATCGTGGTTCTCTTGTGTTTTGTTTCAAGAGCTA